CCAGACATGCTCTTTTGTGCTTAGCTTTAGGGCCTGGGGGGTCTTCGTGCCCTCCTTGCTCTAGAGGCCCCTTTGCCTGTTACCCCCAGACCCTGGTTACCATTCAAGCCTAGGTGTTTCATTGCTCCCGTTGTTAGATGTGGAAATTATGCTCTTGGTAGTTTTTTTTTTTTTTTTTTTTGGTTCCGGGGATTGAACTCGGATCCTTGTGCTTGCAAGGCAGGCCACCGAACCATTGAGCTAAATCCCTGGCCCTGGTCTGGGTAGATATAGTATTGTTATGACAATTAGTGGATTTCTCAGGCTTTTCTTAGCCACAATACCCTATTAATGGTTTGAGTTAGGAAAGTATTTCTTGTCTGATGTTATTACTATAGGCTTTATTTTAAATGATAGTTTTCTAGCACCTGTATGTTCATTTTATCTATTTATTTAAAATCTTTTTATATGTTTTAAGTGTGACACTTAGAAGCTATACATAGGTGGATTTTAAAAATCCACTCCATTAATTTATCTTTTAATCCACTGAATTCAGTGCATTTGTGTAATGATTACTGGTCTGTTTGGGCTTATTATTACTCTCTTATTTGGTGGTTTCTATTTACCATTCCTCATTGTTCCATCCATGTCCTTACACTGTTTTCCCACCAGTGTGCTGGCACAGATACTATGTTATGATTAGATAACACTATTGTGTATATTATCATTTTGTGTTTTTAGCAATTAGCAGTGATTATATAACAAAGTTGCTTCCTATGCATTATTTTATATCTTTTTTTTTTTTTCTTTTTTGAGACAGGATCTCACTATGTAGTTGAGACTGACCTGGAACTCACTACATAGCCCAGGCTGGTCTCAAACTCACAGAGATCCTGCCTCAGCCTCCCAAGTGCTGGGATTGCAGGCATGCACCACCACGCCCAGCCTTCTATGAATTATTTTAATAGTCTAGTATTTCTCAACTTCTTCTGAGCATAATTGAACTTTAGTGTGCTAAAAAAAAATCCCTGAACACCTTTCTTTCCCTCATTATTGCTTAACATTTTAGTTTTGCTTTTGTAGAAAATCAAATATTTTAGTTTTTGCTTGTTTTTAGCCAAAAGTTAAATTTGCCACCATAGTTTTTCAGTTTCCATTCTCACCATTGTTTCTTGTTGTCTACATTTTCCCTTAGTTCACTTTTATTTCCTTGATGTAGTACTTTCATATTAATTGAGTGTAATACTTTTGCTTTAGTGCTATAGTGGCCCAAATATGTCTTTATTTTGTTCTTTTTAAAGACAATTTAAGGAAACATAACAGTTCTAAAGTTTCCTATTCTTAGATCTTTATGAGGCCATCCCCCAATGTCTACTGGCACCTGCTGTTGCACAAAGATGTCTGCTGTCAATCTCTCTGTTGTGTTGAGTGTTCATGCCCAGGCATGACTATATTAAAAATTTTTATTCTTGAGATCTTGATGTGTCTGAGTGTGGCTTCATATTTGTCTTGCTTGATACCAGAATACATTCCCAAGCTGAATTCATAATTTCTTCAATGATAGAAAAAAAGCTGTTTACTCTTAAAATATCAATTATGCTATATTCTGTCCTTTTTATTACCTGAAATGCCTATCAGATATATCATTGAGGCTCTCATTTTCCATATAGATTAACTGATATTTCATTAAAACATAGAACTCTTTTTTTCATGGTAGTTTTTCTGTAGGTAGGCTCCTTATTAATTCTTTCCATTTTGCTGTTTCTTTTCTGATTGTGCCCCGCCTGGAGTTTATTCTATCAGTCTTTTTTATTGTCATGACTATTTATCTTTGTTTCTAAGATTCCTAGATTTTTGTGTCTTTTAAAATTTTCTCTTTTGTTAAACAGCTTGCTACTTATTAATAGAAGTTCCTTCACTTACCTATTTTGATAGTATCCTAAAGATACATGGAGAAGTCTTTGCATCATGTTTTATAAAGTTATTTTCATTAGGAGTAAATTCATGTATATTATGTGGTTTTGTTGGCTCTCTTTTTTGGTGTTATATTTTATTCATGTGCCTTAAAACCCAGATCTAGGATGAACTTTAATTTGGGGGAAGTGTCTTTTTGTCACTCTTAAACCCTGTGATCTGCCTGTCTAGTGGTTGTGGTCTCTTCTACCTGTCTCCCAAGCTGCAGCACAGAGTGGTGGTGTCTCTCCTAGGTAATACTGTGGGATCTGGATCTGTCCACAGAGCTGTGTGTTACTTGATGTATTACTGTTTTCCATTCCCTTTGGGCCTGCAGATTGCCAAATGTGATAGCACCAGACAGTGGTTTCCACCTGGAATTTCTTGCCAGTCTCATAGTCCTTCCCATCTTCTGTGCTTAGGCAAAGCTAGAGTTCAGACTGTTGTATGAGGGGCATTGTTTGCACCCAGCCCTCCCTCCCCACAACTTCACTCTCCCCTACCACATCATGTCCTTTGTATCTGAAAGTCCATGAAGATTTTGAGCATTGCTTATCTTTCTAGTTTTTTTTATATTTAATGTATTATTTCTATGTATTCAGAGCATAGAGTGCATCAGAATTGAATTTATATAGTCATCTTGATTAGAAATAGAAGCTTGAGTATTTACATTTAGTTTCCAGCTCCTAAAAGAAATATATCCCCGCCCTGAGGCCAAGGGGAACTGTGGGAATCACACCTGTCCTTTTCATCTTTATATTCTAGTACTGTCATGGTGCCTTCCATGTTGTAGGTGCACAACAAGTGATATTTGTTGAATAATGAAGTATCAAATTTAGTAAATGGCATCCATATCTAGGGTCATACATGTATTTTTACTTAGTGTCTCAAATTACCAAATGTGACTGGGGAATTGAGGAAAAGTAAAAGGATGATCATGACTCTTACCAAGACTGCCGTTGAAAATGAACCCACATATTATTTTTTTCCCAAATAAGAGAGCAATATTGACCTCTCTCATTTCCAGGTTTTGCTGTTGCTGTTGTTGTTGTTGGTGGTGGTATTATGCATGTTACTACGAATTAAACCCATGAATGCTCTACCACTGAACTCCACTCTCAGTTCTTTTTATTTGTTTGTTTGCTTGCTTGCTTGCTCATTTGTTTATATTTTGAGACAGGATCTCATGAAGTTGTCCATGGTGGTCTCAGACTTGCAATCCTCCTGCCTTCAGCCTCCTGAGAACCTGGAATTACACATGTGCACCAGCGCGCTCAGCTCATTTTTCTTCTTAAAAGTAGAATCCCCCTCTCCATGAGGCACTCTGTCTTTTGGAAATAGAACAAGAGCAACCTGAACAAATTAGACCTGATTCAGATTATGGGCTTAACTCTCAGTTCTCAGAGATTTTCAAGGGAATATTTTAAACCAGTGATCTGTGCGTGAGTTTCTGTGGTTGCATCAGCTACAGGAAATTATAGGCAACTAAAATCCTTTACTGTGTTTCCTGTTGTGTGGATGAACCATTTGGGGTAGGTGTGCTGGGAGGGTCAGCTGGTGTGGCCAATCTGGGCTTCACTCACTCACCTGTTGGCCGTCAGCAGCCAGCTAGTGGGGCTTGATGATTGTATGCTTATCTCTCTCATTCTCTCATTTTCCAACAAGCCAGCCTAGGCTGGTTCACATGGTACTGGTTACAGTGGCCCACAGAGAGTGAGCAGAAATATCCAGCAAGGCTCCTACTAGGTACAAAGTGTCTATGAAGTCCCAACTTGGGACTCACACAGTGTGGCCTCCCCTCTACTCTTGGCCAAAGCAAGTCAAGGCTGTGGTAATGGGGGGACTCTGGTGTTGGCTGTTTCTGCAGTCTACTGTGGCAACAAAGTGTGGTGTGGTGGAATGATGGTGGAACCTCCATTACGGTCTCTGAGTTTGCCCTCCAGAGTCAGGAACCAATATTTTGGCTGGCTTCACCACTGAACATCAATGACAGAGATGTTCACTACACTGCCTGGCATGTGGCCACGGGATTCTTGATTGTTCCTGCTTAGGTCGCACCCATGTCATGGCATGAGGATAGTTCTCTCTGATGCTATTCCCAGCCTGGAAAGTAAGAATTCTCATCAGGTGTATAAGTCAGCATGACTTGAGGACAAACCACCCTGGAATTTAGTGGCTTAATGCAACACCCTTTCTTGCCCTTCTGTTTCCGCAGGACAGCAGCGAGGGCTGGCCCTGTCCTGCTCTTTTATTCAATTGTGTCAGGCACTGGTCAGCAAGGTGTCCGCCTCAGGATCACCCAGTGTGGACAGGAAGCTGGATGCTTCTCTGCCTAGCAGACTGGTCAGGGCTCATGGGAGCAGGTGGAGTTGCATGCGGTTCCCATGGGATCAAACCAAGTCATCGAGCCCAGCCCCACTTCCCCGGGTTGGGAGTAGACAGCAGGGAGCATGGAGGGTTCCCGGCAGCTGTAATCTTTCCTATCTGCTCCCTTCAAGAAATTTCGTATCATTCCTCAACTTCAAAGGAAACACTATCCCCATTTATACCCCTATTAAATATTAATACTGTGTGTGCAGTGGTAGTAGTGTGAACAGTAGGAGAAAGCACACTTGCACTGAAAACAACCCAGGGTCCTGTCAGCATTCATCGATGGGATCTGCTTCACTACCAATTTATGTGTTCATAGCAATACTGGAAAGACATACATTCTGTGGATCTACTACCTAAGACAACAATAATGTGTTTTTTTCTTCCAGTCCATTCTCCTTGTTTGCTAACCCGACCTGGCCAAGCCTGGAGTTGCTTTTCTGAAGGGTCCTCTGTGTTCCGTGAGAGTTTTGGGGGCTTTTCGGGCACACGCTTCACCTTGGCATTGTATGGTCTGGCCTCTGCCTATCTTTTGGGTTGTATTTCTTCGTTTCTCTCTTGAGCACTAATCTCTACAGTTAAATAAAACACTTTGCTGTTGCTGGGGCACATTGTCCAAAGTCAGCACCAGTGGTTCTTAATTCTAGTGCGTGCGTGCGTGCGTGCGTGTGCGCGGCGCACACTACTGGCGTCTAATGGGCAGACGCCAGGGAGACTGCGCACATCTGACGGCCGGCAGCTCCACTGCACCGAATTATCTGGCTGGGCTTCCGCAGTGTACAGGCTGAGAAGGTGCGCCCTGATCATATTTGCTCTTTTCTTCCCCGTTGCTACCTCTTCCTAGAAGGCCTTTCCTTTAGTGCTTGGCATTGAAAAGCCCCATCCGTAAAAAGCCAGCTCCGTTGCCAGGTGTTCCGGAAACAAGTCCCGGATAGCCCAGCACTCTGTGTCGCCTACCCCTGAGCACAGGCAGGCAGTGTGGGGTCCAGCATTACTCCTTGTCGTTGTTCTTACTGCGCCTCCCGTGGAGGCTGCTTGAGTGTCAGTGTATTAACTCTTGCTCTGGACCATGTGCTCCTGTGTGGCAGGATCCCCTTATCTTTGTTCTTGAGCACCTACCCCGTGTTTGCACACAGCGGGAGCATAATAAATAAAGGTCGATTGAGAGAAACGTCTATCTCCCTAGGTCCTTAGGTATGATTACTCCTAACAACAATTTTCTTAATGGATTTTGAAAACAATCCAGTAAGTGAAATCCAGGATTTTGTTTTTGACAACTTCGGTTAAAAAAAAAAAAAAAAAGAACTCATTGTACAATGCAGTTAATTATTTGTGCTTATTTCTGCAGCTGTTTAGTGAAAAGATAAGTGGTGCTGAGGGAACGAAGCTAGATGACGAATTTCTGGACATGGAAAGGGTAAGAGAACATTTTAACATGTAAATAAAATTAGACATTATCTTTTTTTAGTTTTTTTTTTTAATTAGCATGTGTTTGCGATACCTAATAATTACATTCATCTTGGGGATTCGGCACCTATACATATTGCACCTTCGAAGTTGTCCTTTGTCGTGGTGCTGTAACAATGTCAGTGCAAAGCGACAGTGCTTAAATATGGGCTTGGATCATGCAACCCAGCGGGCAGCGTCTCTGCTGACTCTCTGGTTGAACCCGGTCCAGGGCAGGGGGCTTGAGGAAGGAAATGGGATGTGGCTGACGGGTGCCCTCTAGTGGCCAGAAGTCACATGCTCAAAAGATGGGCCTCTTGGTTCCTGGTAGGCCGCAGTAATTGTGGTTATCTACCATGGAGAGTCAAAAGTGTGTTTCTGGGACAAGAACTTTCGGATCTGTAACAGCTGACTTAGTGTGTGCAAGGCGCAGTCTCTGGTCCTGCACAGCGAGAGTAGCTTTGTCCTGGTTTTGCCGTCAGAGAAAGCAGTGTGAGCTTGTGTCTGTCCTTCCCCAGCTGGGGAGCATGAGGGCCTCACACGGCTCAGAGCATCAATGTATTGGGAACAACCAGGACGTCGTGACCACCTCTGCACAGGAACGAGTGTGCCATACCCCAGGGGAAGACTGTAGAGTCCCTGCCCCTTACGGAGTTTCCTGGGCACCAAGCAGCCAGCGTCGGGGGCGGAGCAGGGCCGCCAGAATTTACCAGCCTGCTCAGCTTCCATCCCCTTTCTTAGATCTCTTTATCTTTTCAGTTTTTTATTTTTATTTATTATTTCTTTGTAGTACTAGGGATTGAACCGAGGGCCTTCACACTGAGCTCTACTCCCAGCCTTCATTAATTTTTATTTCAAGACAGGGTCTCACTAAGTGATGACATTGTCCATGCTGGACTCACACTTGCTATCCTCCTGCCTCAGCCTCCCAGAGTGCTGGAATGACAGGTGCCTGGCATTGTTGTGGACTTTCTAAAGGAGGCCTGCTTCTGGTAATGAGACTCCCCAGAGGAGAGGAGGAGGCGGGAGCATGAGGCTGGGGTGTGGCAGGTTGGGTAGGGGGCAGCTGGTGCTGGGGACGAAGTCCAGCCCTGGGCTGTGGACTGGAGAGCTCTGTTTTCAGGGCCCTGGGAGTGCTTGCTTTTCCAGAGGGGCGGTATTAAGTTTTCAGAAATGTGACTGCCTTAGAAAAAAAAGATAATTGTTTTTACTTAGAAAATTTAATTTTTGCAAATTGAAAATCATGGAAAGATTTTCACATCATTGACATATCTGGAATTACTTTGAGACTTTGTTTAATATACAGAGATAGTAGGTGTAGCACTGTCACCCACAAAATGATTCAGTCATAATATGAAATTTGAAGTTGTCTTTCAAGAGTTACAGCTTTGGTTGACAGACTGAGGCCTCTCTTGTTTACCTCCTTTCCCCCAAAAAAATTCCAGAAGTGACAGAAGAAATATAAAAATAAAATATATTACCTGTTTTATTGCACCAGTGAAAAGCATGGAAATATATAACATATGACCAGAAGTTTTAAGAACTTTTTGGAAGTGATCATGTTAGTATCAGACTCACTCAAAACATGACTCAGAAATGACTAATGGAAAAAATGTCCTATAACAAATGCCAACCATAAAATATAGGGGAACAATAGTAACATCAAGGTAATTTGATACAAAAAAGCACTGAATAAAAAAAGAGCTTTCCTTAAAAAAATTATAAGATGGAATCAGTATAGCTTGTCAGGAAATGATAAACATTAGAAACTATTTTGCACTACAGGCAAGTAAAAGCTGTCAGGAATACCTGGAGCACTGACAAAAATCAGAATAAAAGACTTTACATACCTCTGTCATGAAATAACAGATTAAACAATTATCAATAGGCTCTTGGGAGATTTGGTTAAATTTGGTTAATAACTTTGATTATAAACTGATACTGCATTCCCCAAATGGAAAATTCACATTCTTTTCAAATTTTGTAACAGGGGCTGGGTCAGGGCAGAGGAAGTGGGGAATAGGATTTTGTGCACCTTGGGAGTAGGGTGACCACATTAAATGGAGTTCTAGATTCAGGACACTAGCACACAGGCTTGATGAAAATACTTTTACCTCTCTTTTTTCCTGTGTTTCCCAGTGGTTTGCCAAGATCTTTACATCATATTTGTTAGCCTCAACACACACACACAAACATGCATATGCAATAGTCCCCTTTATTCTAGTAGGAAGTTTGGAGTTTTTTCTGTTTTTAATCTACCTGAGTTATTCTTTCTTTGTGCCCGTGTTTGCCAGTATGTATAACAGGCATGCTGTAAGATCGGAAAGGGTTTGTTTCCGGATTTTTTTCTAGTACTGGGGATTGAACCCAGGGACTTCATATTGAACTACATCCCCAGCTTTGAAAAAAACAATTGTTTTTTTTAGACAAGGTCTTGCTAAGTTGCTCAGGTTGGGCTCAAACTTGAGATCCTCCTGACTCAGCCTTCCAGAGTGTTGAGATTACAGTGCATCACCATGCCTGGCTTTATATCCAATTTTGATGCTTGGTCTAGAGTGGAAGCAGCTTGGTGTGTGCCTGTTAGGGCCTCTGAGGCAGGAACATAGTTTTGGTGATTTGTTTCCCAGCACTTTTTTTCCCAAACAGTGTAGAAGGATCTAAGGTGGAAACTCTTTCCCTCTGATTGCTGTCATTGTCCTTTTTGGAAGGTGCTACCAGGGATGGGAATGCATGTTTGTTTGTTTGTTTTTTGTACCGGAGATCGAACTTGGGACCTTGCACTTGCAGGGCAGGCGGTGGAACCACTGAGCTAAATCCCTGGCCCTGGGGGTGGGAATGTAGCTCAGCAGTGTCATGCTTCCCTGGAAGGTGCAAGGTCCTGAGTTCGATTCAAAAGATGCATCTAATTCAGTGGCACCGTGCATGGCTAGAAGGGGCTTCCCATCCACACAGCATTGGCTACATCAAAGGGAACATCCTAGGCTGTTTTAATTAATATTTAATTTATTAAAATTAAAAACCTAGTTTTCTTGAACTTTAAGCAGAATTTATGAATCTTATGTACAAGTAATAGAGCTTTGATGTAAAACAATAATTTTTCATCTTCATTTCAAGTTCCATCAACTCCTAAGTTTGACAGATCCATCCTTAAATATTACCAGTTACTTGTTGACCAAATGTTAGAGGCTTTAACTGTGTTCACTAACTAAGGCAATGTATAGGGTTACCTCAAACTTCCTCTCAAATCTGAAACAGAATTTCCCAAGCACTTACATTTCTTGTAACTCTTGTAAACATTGAAGTGAAAAATTCTTACACATTTCACAAAGGACCTTCATACACAGCTGAACACTCTGGAGAGAACTCAAAAGTTTAGAACTTGTTATGAGGCCAGATGCGTGGACACACACACACGTACACCCTTGCACACACTCTTGCACACACAGCACTCAAGTATCAGCAGTAGGTTTGAGTCATTTCTGACTGTTTCTGTATTGTTTTTTTAAGTTTCCCTAAAGCTCTAAATTAGGCATTCAGATCAGGGGACAATTTTTTTTCATTTATTTGTCATTTGAAAACTTAAGAACCTTACTAGAGCACAGTTTTAAAGGTAAAAAGTAAACTTTTGTTTTCATTACAAATCAGCCCACAGCTTGCTGTCTCCCTTGGCAATGTGCCACAGACATCTTCCCAGTGCATATAGACCTTCCTTATATATTTATCTGTTCTCACGACTGAAGAATATGTCTGTACGTGGCTATTTCACAATTTATCCAATTGCCTCCTATTGGTTACACGCTTAGTGTTTTTTTAAATTTAAATTTAAATATTTTTGGTACTGGGAATCAAACTCAGGACCTTGCACCACTGAGCTACATCCCCAGCCATTCTCGGTGGTTTTTGATTCTTAACACCATGCAGAATATATAGACAGGCGCTTTGCTGCAGCACTGCCCTCTGCCGTCATGTTCCTATGCGATATATCCCTAGAAATGAACAGCTGGTGGGTCAGCAGCCCTAATACTGGGTGCTTACACCTTTGTATTCCCATCCTGTATGAAACAGCCCACCATTGCACACCTGTGTGATACCTCATACTGGATGTCTTTGCTCTTGAAATTTTTTTTTTGTCAGCCTTCTGAGTGTAAGGTGTTTTTAAATTAATAATTCTGAATATTTTGCCAAATGTTTGTATACTATTTATGTTTTTACTCATTTGTAGATTGCCAGTATATTTTATTTTTCTTCCTTCTTTTTAAAAAAAAAATTTAATGGGAATTCGGTGTGCTATGGATGCTAATGCTTTGTCTTTTGAAGACTTCTCTTTGCCACTTTTTGGGTGATCTAACCATGTGTGATGTCTTTCCTTGTTTAGTTTTTAATTTTTATAAAGTCAGAATTTTTGTCTTTTAATTTATGACCTTAGAGCTCCAGGTCATGCTTAGGAGTTTCTTCCTATTTCAGTATTTTAGAGCATGCTGTTTTTTGTTTTGTGTTTTTTATAGATCAGTATTTTAAATTCAGTGTGTGATATGAATCAAACTTTATTATTAATTTTCCAGGTTTTAACCAAAAAAAGAAAAAAAAAGTTGAAACTGTGATGAGAATAATTTTACATGTTAATTTGGGGAGGATTTACATCTTTCTGAAATTGTTTTCTCATCTAGAAATGTGGTTTTCTGGTGAATTTCTGGTTTACTGTGAATTTCTCATAGGATTTATCCCTCGTCACTGCACATATTTTTATTGCTCTTATGAATAGGAATCTTTTCTTCCTTTACATTTTCTTGCGGGCTATTGATAGTATAAAATAAAGCTACTAAAATTTGCATACTTAACTCTATTGTATATTCTCTGTTAAATAACAACCAGAAAGTTTTTGAAAACAGAAAGATTCGATCTGAACTTGGCAGAAAAAACTTTAATGTTAACATCTTCTCACTGTAGCATCATTGAACATGTTTACTTTAGTTATATTTATGATTCTCTCATCGTTAATTACTGAGGTAGTTTTCCAATACAAGCCTGTACTATGGTAGTCTTAGATACGCATAGAAATTCCAGTTCACCTAGCAGACAGGAAAGTTTGGAGATGTTCTGGTCTATCCAGTCATCCAATCGGAAGTGATGTTTTCCAGCTCTGTTAATATTACATTAATGTTCCCTTTAATGTTAAGAAGGGAAATAGAGTTCTCCAGTTGTCATTCATTGGCAGGAGTTGATATCACAACGTCAAAAACTGAGAAAATACTGCCTCTTCCCAAAATATTGTAAACATTCATTTGGATTACAGTTAGCACAGTGGTGTTAAAAGTGTCAAATTAATGAAGATCCCGTCTCTGTTCAGTGAATTTGTTGAATTTTCCCATTACTGACATTTCTGTGTATTTTGTCTTGTTTTTAAGAAAATAGATGTTACCAATAAAGCGGTTGCAGAAATTCTTTCAAAAGCTACCGAGTACCTTCAGCCAAATCCAGGTAACGTTGGAAAATGTCTCAAAATATTCTGTTGCTTCCTTCCTGTCACAGACTCTAATAACTGCAGCATGCTTAGCGTGCAGTTGACAAAATTTAGAAGCAACTCCCCTGCCACGGCCAAGTGTTGAAACTGAATTTTTAAGTTTGGTTTCCAGGAACCAGAAGTACTCAGGTGTATCCTTGTTGATGAGCAACAGCATTAACTGTTGGCCTGAGCACCAGCTGCAGGCAGCGCTAAGCAAAGACACCTTCTATCAGGTGCTTCAGAAACCCACTAAATGTTTTCTTAGTTATTTCCTCTTTAAATTAAAAAAAAAAAATCTTCCATCCTGCTCTGAGGGATCCTGTTCTTCCATCCTGTGTATTAATTTGAAAGGATTTTCATGTTATCACTCACATGCTAAAGAAAGGAAGTGTGATGAATTTGAAAAACAACACATGCCAGTCCCCTGTTACCTTGGCTTCCCCTCAGGAGGTCTTTAATTCCCGAGTCCTCCAGCGGCCGCCCCTTGTTTTCCTAGGTTGTGAATTATAGAAACCAGTAGGGGGCGCACAAGCCTTGAACGCTCTGAATTCACAGGCTGTGCATTTCTGATGCTGCCTTTAATTTACTTACTACTATTTGTATGTAGTTACTGTGATCCCTTTGGTTATAGGAATCAGCACAGACATAACCATCTTAAAATTGAGAAAGTAAAAATTTAAGAAATTTAAATTTTATCAAATGTATTCAGGGAGGATGGCAAGTGTAAAATTTATTTTAAAACTATATTGATGATTATGTCTTTTCTCCCCGGCTTCATCAGTGATCGAAACGATGAGCTCCTTTCCCTGTGCGTCAGTCCACAAATATGTAATAAGTGTCTCCTCTATACTGGAGGCTTTCTGGGGTGTGGGAATGCACTGTCAGACAGAGACGCAAGCCCCCAAACAGCTGACAGCGGAATGGCGTGGCAGGGCCCTGCAATGAAAGTGTTCTCTGACCAGAGATCTCTGGTTCTACTTGCAGGAGAGAGGGAGTCCTGATGGCCCTCACTCAGTGCACAACACACCCACTCTGAGAGTGGGAAACAGGCAGTGTGTGTGTGTGTGTGTGTTAGGGAAGTGAAGCCTTTTCTCCTGAGCACTGGAAAGATCAGTGTTTTGAGGCTGACAAGGTTCAAAAGGCTGGCACTGACTGCCTCAGCCTTGCTACTCAAAGTCTGGTCCATGGACCAGTAGGACCAACATCCCCGGAAGAATTTCTGGAAAACAGAATCTTGGGTTCACCTCAGACCAATTGAATCAGACTCTGTACTCTGACAGGATTCCTGGGTTATTTGCACACATGTTAAAGTTTGATACACACTAGTCTAGAATGCATTAAAAATAAGTATCTAAATACCACAAACTGATATGTGATTCACTCTAGCTTATGGAGTGAGAATGGAGTCTCAAACCTGTAGGCTGGTGTTCAGTTGATAGTCACTTTCGCCCCAGATGCCTCTCATTTTGTCCTGTATTAATTTCTCTTTAGATAAAACCATCCTACTGCTTGTCCCTCAATGGTATCATAGCTTTCTCCTTTTCTACACTTTACCGACAATGCTTCCTCACATTGTGGGAGCATTGTTTAGTCTTTTCTGAGTGTGTTGACATCTTCTCCTTTTCCTGTGCCACCCTGGATTTTATTTCCACAATTGTATATTCTGCCTCTCTATGTAATTAGACCTTGAGCTCCTTGAGGGCAGGTCTGGAGATCACAGGCGCCTCTGGACTCGTAGGAGTGCACAGTGTGTCACACAGGCCAGGGATTAATAAGTCAGAGAAGAGAAAGGAAGGTAAGAAGCAGCAGTGAACATCAGTGAGTCTGTTCACTGTGGCCAGCGTCTGTCTCCTCCTGGCTGTCTCCCTTGTGACCTTGGATATCACTCAGCTGAATCAGCCCCGGGGAGCAAAGTAAGGGTATTAATTACCAGTTGGTAGCTTAAAGCACCCGTCTCCAAATTTTATTCTTGCCTTACAGTGAGTTCCTTCAAACATGGTCTTCACAGGTATCAGAGTCTGACATTAGGGAGTTGACAATTTCAAGTGATTCCAGAGTGGCTCCCTGTGGGTGACTTACGTAGCCCTTCCTGCTACTACTGAAAGTCAACATGGGCTCTAGTTTCTGTGTTCCACATAGTTATGTGACAGCCAGCTCAGCAACCCACCTTGGTAAAGGATCCATCCTGCAAGTCCTGAGGAAATGAAACAGGTCTCTCAGGCTCCCTGCACCCTTGGGCCTCTGGTGTTTGTTGTATAAGGTGACCCCCGTTTGGTCAGCTGTATTTGTTAAATACCGTGTTTCTGTCACTCTATCTGGTAACTTTAAGGAATTACAAATGACAATGTTTTTAAGCATACAGAGCTAAGCTAGGAATGCTGAACACTGTGTCGAAGATCCGAGGGCAGGTGAAGACCACGGGCTACCCACAGACAGAGGGGCTGCTGGGGGACTGCATGCTGAAGTATGGCAAGGAGCTCGGGGAGGACTCTACCTTCGGTGAGCGCTGGGCAGCCTGGGAGGAGGGGTGGGTTGTGCATGATACCTTCTGCTTGACAACATTAGAGTTTTTCTCCTGGTACCAAGTAATGCATGGTCATTGCAGGAGGTTTGGAAAACAGGCATGTGAAATAAAGGAAATGCTGCTACCAACCATAAAACAGCTTCCTGGACAGGCCTCATTAAACTCCTTATTGTGTAGCCTCTATATCTTTTGTTTATTCTTAAAGGTGTATCCATATACACCTTTAAAAATCCGAACCAGGTTATAGTATATATCTGCTTTTGTAACCTGATTTCTCCCACTGATTATATCATGGACCATGACCAATCTTCTATAATATTGTTTTCAAAGGTGCATGATATTGCATGTACATAGTTATATGTAATTATGTTAGGTGTTTTTTGTGTGTAAAATTTTTGCACAGCCATTATAATAACCATTTTTCATAAATGAATTTTTGGAAACATCTGAATTTTGTTCTTTGACGTTATTAGATGAAATTCCCCATAGTAAAATCACTGGCTCAAAAGTAAACTTACTTTTTCAGTGTTGAGGATTTAACCCTTCTGCATCTCTGTGCTTGTGTCCTTTCCCTGTTTCCCTTGTTGACCTGTGAGTGGATGGGCAGGACCCTGGCTCTTTGCCAGTCTCCTGTGCTGAGGCCTGGCCCTGGCAGCACCACCTTCTGACCTCACTTTATAGAAAAAGTCTTTTTTTTTTTTTTCAGTGACACTCATTAGTCTTCCTTTATGCTTTCTGATTTAGAATCATGTGTAAAAAAATCTTTTCCATCCCAACTGCCTGGGAACTGCGTAAATGTTTATTTCTATTTTCTTTTGAAATGTATGTTAACTTTTCTTTTGTTTACATTTCCCAGCTCCTGAGTTTATTGGAAACACTATACAGCAGAGTTCTAATTTTGTTTTCTAATAAACAGAATCCCAAGTGGTCCCAGTGCTTTAGAAAAGCCCAAGTTTCCCTGTAGTTTTGAGATGATCCTTTAATTATAGACTGCTTTTCTCTTTTAAAGTTTATTTCCATCCTTTCTATTTTCAGTCTATATCCTGCTTTGATCTAATGTCATGTTGTTTTAAGTATTGTAGTTTTAAAGTGTTTTAAAAATATAATTCACTAAAATTGCCCCTCCTTATTTAAGTGAAAAAATTACAGGGACATACTTAAAATTTTTATTTTTCCAGATGGTGCCTAAGTCATTTTAAGCCCCTCCCACTATTAAAAAATAGAAATTCATTATTTTTAGGTTGATATTTACTTACATTATTAAACTAAATTGAGGATGAATTGAATTTAATATATTCAGTCTTCCAGGAGAACTTGATATGACTGCTACTCATGTAGTACTAATGAGGCAGGATATGGAACATGAGAAATCAATTATTTGGTCATAGTAATTATTCTAGGAAATTGGAGGAAAAATCTTTTGAAAATTTACAAAAAATCTGCAGTATTAAAGCATTAACTAATTAGTGACAGTGGGTAATGATATCCTCTGGAGCAGTATAATGTGAAGTTTGTTTTATTCTTACTTTTTACCTGAGGGTGCATCCTGGAGGGAACAGGTGACCACCAGGCAGGGCTGGGGCCAAAGGGACATTCCTGCTGTGCACCTGGCCAGGTGACGGTGTGATAGCCAGCCAGCTGGATAGCTTACAGGAACATGGGGTTTAGGGAGCTGATGTCAGCAGGGCACCGGGGACAGGAGGGCTGTTTTCTGTCCCCAGTAACCCTGTGCCCTGAGACACTTCCCTATTTTCCATGTGAATAAATTGTCTGTGTCCTGGACTGTCTGTGAAAGGACTCAAAGGTTAGGCTTGGGCTGGGCTTTTAGGTTTTCAAGCCTGGGAATTGAGTGACTATTGTTTTACAAAACCAATTTGGAAAATCTCAAATAGAAGAAGAATAGTTCAGTCTAATGCAGCGTCTCCTGGCTGTCTTCTCGAGGACCTGCAATCTTCACTGTGTCCAGCAGCCAGGACCCTTGGTTTACAGAAATCTTGCCCATTACTGCAGATCAGCTGGGTCAACACTCTCAGGTGTAACTAACCCAGCTAGCCTGTCCCTGCCCCAGCCCAGGAGGGCCGGCCAAGCCTCTGTGCCAGAACCTGGTGAGAGCTCACCGTGTGTGATGCTGCACGTGGGCTTTGGCCTCAGAGACTTGGCCAGGAGCCCTAGAACCATCCTCAGGGGTACAGAGCAGCCTCAAGAAGACTCCACAGCCAGAAGCTGAGACGAGGCTTTGTTTACTTCCATTGTGGTGTTTATTGGTTACCACTTAGCCTTTGTGAATGAATCCTTTGAATGTTTACAAAGAGAGATTTTACTCCCCAGCCTCTAAGGAGCCCTCGGTGCCAGTTTCGAGGAGCTCTGGGTTTTAAAAGGAGCTTGATCTCCACCTAGCGGCCAATGCAGTGAGTGCTTCAGTCTGAGGTGTGTTTCATTTCAGGTGGAGTAAAGTGCAGAAGGTAGAGGGGAAAATGTGGAAAAACAGGAAGGTTTTTTCCTTGTTTTTTCACGCTTTTTTGGGGGGTGAGGATGCTGGAGTGAGGGGCTCGTTACACCATCAAGCACAAAGTTTCCGGAATTGGTTAAAAGAATACACAGTTAACTAGGAGTATTTTCCTGTTTTTGTTTGCATTTTCTGTTGAAGGCAATGCGTTGATCGAGGTTGGTGAATCCATGAAACTAATGGCCGAGGTGAAAGACTCTCTTGATATTAATGTAAAGCAAACTTTTATTGATCCACTTCAGTTACTCCAAGATAAAGATTTAAAAGAGATTGGGGTAAGTCTTCCAGGCTACAACGAAACCTGTTCTTACTTAAAATGATGCTTCTGTTTAAAAATCCTTAGCTTCTGCAGACACTCAGAGAAAAAGTATCATCTTACTGTGGGTGGTGATAAAGCTTGGTTCTGTTTTCCTGGGCAGTGGAGAAAGTACCGGGTAGCCCTGTCTGCTGAGGACATGTGCAGTGCCCCCACCTCCAGCTTTAAAACTGCATCTCACTGGGGCCAATTAGAGCCTGGCTAGCAGTCCATATTTGTACAGCCATTTCTCATGTAATGAAAGGACTCCATAACTCTGCAGTACAGTTTTGGTTACCAAAATCATACGTTGTAGTTGCATTTTTTTGACACATTGCAGTGGTGGTTTTTATTTTCCTTTATGTCTCAGGGAAATCAGTGTCTAGGAGTCAACAGTTATTCTCTGGAAAGCTGCTAAGGTTAGCTTTCCGGAGCATATGTGGGAACTTCCAGGTCCCTGTGAGGAATTGCACTCTACCTGTTTGGTGGCAAATTGTAGATGTGAAAACAGGACCAGGATGTCTATCCCAGCACGGACTTTCCTCTGGGGGTCCAAGTGTCCTTTTTAGGGGCACTCAGTGCCCTCAGGCCTGACCCGACGGTACCTCAGGCCAGTCCTGAAGTCATTGAACAAGAGGATGTCTTGTTTTTCTCTCTTTAGGTTTAATGAGCCTCAAAGCATGGGCCTTGGATCACTCATTAGAAATGCACGTGCTTCTGGCCCAGCCCAGACCCCAGAATCAGGAATTCTGTGGGTGAAGCCAGCAGTCTGTGCTTTACAAAGTCCTTTATAAATGTGACTCTGATGCCCACCCCTCCTCCAGCCCATCCTTTTCAGAGATATTGTGTGGGAGATGCGAACCCCTTGGGTCCAGGCTGTGTGACAGGGACAGCTGTGTGATCCAGCAGCTGTGACTCAGGGGCCTGCTGTACCTGGTCACTGGAATGGGCACCAGCCACATGTTGCTAAATAAGCACTGGCCCATGCCCTTGTGGGGTGGAGAGACAGCCAACAGCTACAGCTGCTGTGAGGGGTGCTGTTGGAGAGGCCAACCCAGGAACACCAAGTCCGGGCCTTCCCTCAGCCTGGCTGGGTCTGTGGAGGCCTTGGAAGTGGAGCAGCTGGCTGGGATGACTGGGGCAGGCAGCTGCTCATCCAGCATGTGCTGGCCAAAGGGCCAGGGCTGGGGAGCAAGCTTGTGTGTGTGTGTGTGGTGTGCCAGGGGCAGGTGGTAATGGAGGAGGAAGGGCTGGGGCCTGGAGAATCCTGGGTGTCTGTCTCAGCATTTAGAGTCTACACTGAAAGCGAAGGATGTGAAGTGGGGATCTCGGAGGGTTGGTGAGAAATGAAAGCTGAATGGAGCATACAGTGGCTCTCAGTGTAGCTCAGTGTGAAAGCCTTGGTTCAATTCTCAGTACTGAAAAGAAGAAAGAAAGCTGCCATCCAGGAAATCCTTCAACACCCCACTCCCCACCTGGGCACCCTTTACTTGTGCCATCCTCACCCCATTTTAGGGAAAGCACATCCCTGTTGCTGTCTCCTGCTGGTCCCCACAGATCCAGGGTCCACGCCCTTTCGCCATGGCCACAGTCCTGTCCCCTGCACCCCAATTTCCCCCCTTTTCTCTGCTGGCTCCTCTGTTTCAGCAGCACCCACCCTCACCTCACCATTCTCCACACAGAGCTGTCACAGGAGACCCAAGTCCTGCAGCTGTGCTGACCCTGGGGTGATGGTCCCACAGGCTCCCACAGTTCAGCCCTGGTTCCTCAGTGCCTCCCTATCCCCCTGGGCTGTCTGCAGCTCCCTCCCAGGGGAACCACGATGGCTCTGTGCTCTCTCTGGATTCCCCTGGGGCTCAATGAGGTGTCCTTCTGCACCTGGCCATTGGCATCCTGCTTGTCTTTCTCTCTGGTTGGGTGGTGACTTCCTTGGGATGGGGTCCATGCTGGCTTTGCTCTTGGATCCACACACCTGCCACACTCTGTGCTCCTGATTAGGACTGCCCAGGTGAGCCCACAGAGGAGATGGCATCTGAGTGGCAGAGATGCTGCAGCACCTTCTCCAGGTGCAGAACCCGAGGACCAGACCCCTGCGTCACCGAAACGCAGCACATTTCCAGTCTTCCTGAGCTGCTGACCTTGCGGAAGTCTGTATGCAAAGTCCACAGGGCGACTGGGTCTTTTCCTTGCCCTGATCCTATAGGGCAGCGAGCATGGCTGGGGGTCCTACATAGTAAGTGTAAGAAATGTGTAAAAGACACTTAGTCTTAAAGCTTGTAGTTCAGTCTGCAGCGAGATAATTTCCTAAGTGGGTTCTTGTTACTCAGATGCCATTTGATGTAGAAACTACACAGATCAAACCTGAACACATGGGTGCTCAGAGCCTCATATTCAGGAGACCTTTCCTGTCCCACTGCTCTATGTCAGGGGTGGAGCCTGCTCGCAGAGCACACTACGGCCTGGCCGCAGTGGACTTCGGGATATGCCCAAAGTGACACATGCTCCCAACCTCCTCCATCCTATCAGCGCTTTACTCTGCATCACCACAGAAGACAGAGCTGTGCCTACCCCCAGAATGAACAGCACAGGTTATCTATGGATCAGGAGCACTATCAGTTCTCACACACATTTTAGAAATAAATGTGTTTTCCAAGGGGAGCCTTGTCCTTCCCTGTAGTTATCTGCTATACACTGTTTCTGACATGGATCTCTCTACTTGAATACAAACCATGATGGGAAACTCAGTACCACACCAGACAACCCTTCCCTGAATGGGCCACCCTTGTTACCATTATCGTTTCTTGTTAAAGGGATTATAATGTCACTTAGAAATCTCTCCAATGCAGAGGTTGCCTGTGTCTTTCTCACCTCTGTGTTCAATGATAGCATTTTTATACAACTTATTCTATAATTGCTTGGGAACTTTAAGGAAGATTCATAAATATCCTACACTTAAACATGTTCATTAGAAATGTGTATTTTTAGTCTGTTGGTGAAGATATGACTGTTGTGCCAAAAAATGTCCCTATGTTTTGTTTGATTAATATGTTTAGAAGTTCTCTGCTAGTCAATAGAGCTGAAGTGAGGGGATCTTATAACGAAGATGGTATCTGAGCATCTTTTTTCTTTCTTTTTTTTTTTTTTTTTTTTTTTTTTTTTTTTTTGTAGTCAGTACTGGGTATTGAACCCAGGGTCTTTCCACTGAGCTACGTCCCCAGGTCTTTTTAGTTTTTATTTGAGGCAGGGTCTCACTGAGTCAATAGGTTGAACCCAAGTTGGGTTCAATCTTACAATGCACCTGCCTCAGCCTCCCGAGTCCTGGGATTACAGGCATGTACCTGGCTGTGGATCCCACATCCTGTGTCCCATACAGACACAGGTTCACTCTGTCAACCTCCTTCCATTGATCTGTCTGTTCTGAATGCTCCCGCCCACTTGACTTGGGGGCAGTTGACCCTGAGGATGTTGAGATGCCCCACACAGTTGTGAGGATCAGTTCCCACCTTAGGAATTTATGCTGAGAAGAGGGGCTGGCTGTTTGCATAACAAAGATAGTTTTGTGTCCTGTTGTGAATGTACCCTTCTCTCATGCCCTCCTTTTTCTTTTTTAGCATCACCTGAAAAAGCTGGAGGGCCGCCGCCTGGATTATGATTATAAAAAGAAGCGAGTAGGTAAGATTCCAGACGAAGAAGTCAGACAAGCAGTAGAAAAATTTGAAGAGTCAAAGGAGTTGGCTGAACGAAGCATGTTTAATTTTTTAGAAAATGATGTAAGTATTTACACCAAACAGGAGACGCTAACGTGAATGAATGTGATCAGCATGTTGAGAAGCTCTAAAGCTCTGGTTATTTTGGAAGTTTCCAGAATGTCTGTAACCGTTATCTCCTGCCTCGGAGGTAGCTTCAGACATCTAGCAAGCCCTGACTCAAATTTTAATGCTTGGGAGGTCCTTTTTAATCCCAGGATTGTTTCAGAGATATTTTAAGTGGGCTCAGTTGCTGGCTTGTCTCAAGATTGCAGGGTAGACCAGCTTTTGTGTTGGAGGCTGCCCGGGACATTTGTGGTTTCACAGGGGTCAGGAAGCTCAAGGCACACCTTGGCATCGCTTATGAGGCAGATGTTTAAGGGACAGGGCCTCTCTCACCCCAGCACTCATCTTTATCATCTGAGTGAATGAGTATGTGGGGTATAGAAGTGAGCTACGTTTTCCATAGTGGTGCTTGTGAACTTGGAGATTGTGAAGGTCTTGGGTCGTATTCTCCAGAAGTACCAGTATTCTCGTATACTATTTTTCTAGCCACCAGCTTTTGTTTGCTTTGTCCACATGAAGTGAAATGAAGTGGAAGTAAAGGGGATGGGTGCACCCCGATGGCTGCCGAGGGCCTCCCTTCTTTCTTTGGCTGTGAGGACCCATTTGGATTTGGTGTTCTTCTGCCTGAGTGGAAGAGGCCTTTGCCACCAGCCCCATCTTCAGTCCCTGTGCTCAGCTCAGCATCACTGACGCCAGAAGAAATCCTAGCCAGCATTTGCTTTGGGCTTGTTTATTAAACTTTCGCATCTGTGGGAAAAAGTCAAGGGATTTATTTCTCCTCAGACCCATGTCATACTTAGGAAAGTTTATTAAAAGGTACAACATGGACCTCCCTCTTTTGAGTCAAATCAAAATACACTGAGCACCTTTTATTCCTTGGTGATTCCTGAGAGAATTGTGTCCACTATGCACTGTTTCTTGTCCTGGGGAACTAATTCTTGCAGCTGGAGAAGCCAGTTTGAAATTTCTAATGCCCTGGAAACCATTGAGGACTGGAAGGTTCACTCTATTATATTTCTCCTTCAGTTAAAATAATATTTTGTGGGAGACGGGTGGAACAGTAACGGGTTGCTGTCTGTTTTTCCTCGAATATATAAATTTCCTCTTTGGATTTTCCCCAAGTGATGGATATTTTTATTTTATTTAGATCTCCATATTTAATTTGCTTGATGGCTTTGGGAAATGTTTTTGAGATGGCTTCAGGTGGGCAGATGTTGCTGCCCACTCAGGCCTATTAGCAGTGAATCGAAACACTGAGGTTAAGTCTTATGAGCTTCTCGTGGTGGCAGCAGTGAAATTTTAAGGTGACTGACATGTCCTTTGTATGTCTGAGGGTCTGACAGTCTCCAGACAAGGACAGAACATCTCTAGTGCACCTGCTTGTACCTGACACGCTGATGCCAATAGGGCCTGGTGCTTGGGGATCAACCCTTGACTGGGATCTGCTGGGAGAACAAAGCGCTAATACTCAGGGGGTAGGCAGGAGTTGAACTCACAGTTCTGTCCTTAGTCCGTCCTCATACCCAGCCTGGGGCTGGGTCCTGCAGCTCTTGGATTCTGCTGCTTGGCACCCACAATCTCATGCCCATTTCGTGCCACTTATCCTCACAGCCATGCTGCCCTGTTCCTGGGGGAAGGCTGGTGACGGCTGGACTTCCTCTCAGGAAATTGTTATTGCACCAACTCAAGGTGACTGGGACCTGTCTGACTCCCAGGTTGAACACAGCAGATCTGCAAGTCCAGGACTTGACAAGGCTCCCACCTGGCGGGCCCTGCTGGAGGCAGGTTCACACAGTATCAAGCCTCAGAAGGAGCACGGCAGCTGGCAGCAGGGGCATCACTGCTTGCTCCTGACATGTGGGAAGTGCTTATGTTACGGATTAGAGATTTGGGGATGCAGCAGCATTTACCACTTCAGGGTCTGAGTAACAGAGCATTCAATGCCGAAGCCAGGGTGGAATCAAGGGGTGGATCTTGACTGATGAGAAAGCCCAATAATTGGAAAATGCAGACCTGGTCAGCCAGGCTGGAAGGCATGGCATGGGCCCCAAGTCCTCGCCCTCCTAGTGGGTGGGAGCCAGCCCCAGTGCAGAGCTGACCGGACTCACTCACCCAGACACAACCTGCAGTGCTGCAGCCAGGTGCACAGCCTGCACAGCCTCCTCAGGGCACCACAGAGGCGGGGTCCCCTGTCCTCTTACTTAGGGACAGTCCGCAGGCTCATCCACAGGAGGCAGGAAGGGCGCTAGAAGAGGACTTGGGGGGTGAAGGGAGGGGAGTGGGGAGAAACTGGTGGAGAGGTGTGTTTGGTGGCACCTGCCCATGTCCATTTGGCACCAGCAACTCAAAGGCCAGAATCTCACTTTCCAGGGAGCAGGTGTACCTCCTCTAGCCCTCAGGTCCTACAGACCTGATTTAAGCCACAATAGAAGCTTCATTGGAGAATGCCAGAAAACATTTGCCACAGCTCTGCATGATTTAGGAAGAGCCCTGACCAGTATCAACTGACTTGGTCTTTCTTGGATCTCCCAGTGAGATTATACAACCCTTTTTAGGATTTTCCTGGCTAACAGGACATTCATAGGGGTTTCCATGTTGCAGTTGCTCCTCTGTCTTCACATCTGTGTTCTCACATCTGAGAAACAACCAGGGAGCAACAAAGATGACATTCCAGTGTCCTGCTGAAGGACAGGCTCCCCAAATGCATTTGAGGAAGGGCAGCAGGAGCCCAGGCTTAATGAAAGCACAGTGAGTTCTCGCAGGACCCAGTGTGGGCCTTGGGACCACCACAGGGAGAGTGAGATGTGTGGGGCAGAAATCCAGATGCACATGAGATCCCATGACTGCTTCACAAAGAGTAAGAGCCACAGCCAGGGCCCTCCTGCCCTTTGCTGCGGCGTCCAGCTGCCCTGGCCATCATGGTCGGGTGGGTGCCCAGCCCTTGGCCTCAGCTGTTAGAGAGAGATCGCTTCACTGGTGCTGTGGAAAGAAAGGAGGGTCATGCAGAGACCTGAAGTGTTCGGGCCAGCATTCCTAAGCAGAAGCCCCACCTGTTGTTTTCAGCAGAGCTGGGGATGAGAGGTCAGAGAAGAGTCTCCTTCAGCTACACGCTGCAGGCTTTGCTTGCAGTGACAGTAGAGCTGGATTGGAGACATGAACCCCGCTTTACTTCTTGTTTGAGCTTCATTATTCTATAGGCAGTGGAGCAAGCTGCGGGTGTTTGATCCTCTGGCTTTCTGGGGACCCCAGAAGACCAGGTCTAGGACTCTCTGCTGTGTGCTAGGGTAACTCTGCCCTTAGAGAAGGGCGGGCCACAAGAAAGTCTGAGCCTTCACACCATTTCTTGGGAACAGTGAGCCATCCCTGGGCTTATTAGCACCTCTCTCCCCTGTCTTTGCAGAGTTTATTCTTCATGACTTATCAAATGTAAGCTTTTGAACTTGGCAGGAACCAGAAATGTTACATAGAAGATGAACATTTCAGCCAGGAGGGCCAGACACCTGCAATATCTACCGGCCTCCTTGGTACATATAGACATCCATGGGTTCTCAAGACCAGTGGAATTCTAGATTCCTGAGTCCTGCCATTATTCTAGAGTAACATTTTCCAAAATTAAGTCACTAGACTGTTAGTGTGTATTATATTATTAATATTCCTGTAGTCCAGTAGATTTGGGAAGTCCTAGAAGTTTGGCAGCTAAATAAAACTAAACCATATTTTAAAAAAATCACTTTTTGGCATCTCTATAGATGATAATATGAAATATTAAGCTTTGAGGAGCCCTTAAGAGGGTGTAGTTGGCCATTTACCAAACTCATTGAACCACAGAACTGCTCAACATTGTGATGATTGACATTTCAGTGGACCATTGACTGGGGATTGAGGTACCTCAGGGCAAAGCATGCCCAGCCAGGAGTAAGAGACTCTAATTCTGTTTCTGGTTTTGGTTTTGATTCTTAGTTTTATGTCCTTAGGAAAGGCAGATGTCAGGCAAATGGGCAACTGCACTGGAGAAACAAATTTTTTGAAGTATGAAGTCAATAATGTAAATATAAAGATTATTATCTGTTATTAATTTAATTCTGAATAAAGATTTTTTTTTGAACCATTGGGGAATGGCATCCTTATGACCAAATTGCAAAATTCATGAGAAAAAGTTTTCCCAGGCTCTCCAAGAAATCCAAAAATAGCAGAAGTCTTTGATACGGCAGAGGAAGGAATTGGATTATCTCAGCCTAAATCAAAGGTGGTCTCCAGTGGAAATGTGTCCTTTCAGTTTTGAAAGTGGGTGGCGCACTGTGGATTGCAGGCCTCTATGAGAGTGTCGCCTACTTTCAGCTCAGTTATCTCTGTCACCACCATGGCCTTCAGAGTGTGTCTCTCTGCCACTTCCTTTTCTCAGCCACCCCATGGTTCCAATGCAGAGAACTGTTCTGGAGGGGCCTTCCTAGAGCTGCCTTCCTTTGAGCCCTTCTTCCTTCGGGGACAGCCCAGGTCCTTTGCAAGTTGATCTATGAGGCCAGAATAATGGCTCAGATTGTACCCCAGTGTGCCTGGGGTTTCCACAGCTCCTGGGAACTTCTGGCATCCTTAATCCACTGTAGTTGGTGACCTCTATGATTGGCCTCCATCCCCAAGGCCAAGTCCTGCCAGTGTCCTCATATATCTATTAGCTTAGGGAGTTAAATGCATCTGTAGGTGACACACAGGCTGTTATGCCCCAGAGAGAAGTTGAATCCATCCCTGTTTTGTTGTCCTCCTGTCCATGGGAAGAGGCTGAGGAGCCTTGGGATAGGGCTGAGCCAGCAATGAAATCCTCAAGCCCAGCCGCACTGGTCTCATTGCCCCATACATTTGGTGCCTGAGTCTCAAGGCAACAGGGAACCCTGGCCTTGCACTGGCACTAGCCTGTCGTTAGATTGTCCTGGACTTGAGAATAGGCTAAGGTGGCTCTGTATTCATTTCCTATGGCTCCTATGAGAAATAGCCACAAACAGCGTGGCTTAGAGCAACATAAATTTATTATCTCACAATCTGGAAGTCAAAAGTCCTACCTAAGTCAGGGAACTGGCACCAAAGGCCTCTGGAAACTCTGAAGGAGTCTGATTCTTTGCCTTTTCTGCCCCTAGAGGCCGCTTGGGCTTCATGGTTGACGGGCTTGTTCCTCAGCTCTCTCTGCCTTCAGACTTAACAGCAGGGCCTCTTCAGGTCTCCTGCTCTGGCCTTTGTGTCCTTCATTCTGCTCTGACTCTGACCCTGGTAAAGGACCCTTGGATTACGTTGGGCTACCCAGACAATTCAAGATGTATTTCTCACCTTGAGATCTTTAACGGAATGGGGTCTACAAAGTCCCTTTCACTTTGCACAGGAACATATCCCCAGGTTGGAGGAAACGAGTCTAGAATATCCTGGCAGCATTCTGCCTGCCACAAGCTCCTTCTGGTTTTATGGTTTCATGGATTTCCCAGGTCCCTCCCTGGCCACACCCCTGGCATTTGTCAACCAAGTAGTTTCCTGGTCCTCTAGTTTCCTGGGCAGTCGGTGTGACCTGTGAGTTTCTCCCTTTGCACATCTGAGTGGGTGCTGGTGCACCTCGCTTCTGGAGATGGGAGGGAGGCAATTCTCTGGTGACTCCCTCGTCAGGTGTCATGAGAATTTCCATAGTCCAACGTTGCAGTTGCTCCGAGGTGGCAGCCCTGGAAGTGGCAGCCCAGCTCTGCCTCACTTGAGCTTTCTTCTCCCCATCTGTGTCAACCCGGGTTGCCAAGTTGAGCCGTGAGGCCAGTGGGATGAGGGTTTCATCTACTAGGCAGGTTTGGGTTCTTGCAAGGCCTAGGGATATTGCTTTATATTGGTTCTCCCCATGCAGTTATTTAGTTCTAATTGTGGCTTTGGAAGCAGAGGCTGCCTGTGCTGATCCCCAGCACACGTCTTGACTTGACGCTCGTGGGCTAGGGGGACAGCTTCAGGGTCGCTTTTCCTTGTAGTGGGAGGAAAATAAGGTGGTACCCCGTGTCTTCCTGGTTAACAAGTGAGACATCTTAGAAAGTGCCTCTCTAGGACTGTGCTAAGCATCTGCTATGTGTAGGCCCATGTACCACTGCTGATGTCCCCCAAGAGCTAAGGGGCTCTGGGGTCTATTGCCTTCCAGATTCAGAGTTACAAGTGCACTTCTGAGTCCTGTGGTTGTGTGTCTTAGCCATAACAGAGAGAAGAGCTGGTGATGCCCACCCCCCTTACCCCTTGCCCCACATATGTTTCAAGAAATATTCATTTAGCTGTCTTTTATTGTTCCTTTAAAAATTATAAAATGCCGAACATACTTCAAAGTGGTGTATAAGGCACACTGGTTTTATTAAAGACATAGGTGTGGCACAGATTTTACCAAGCACACAACTCCAGCCTAATTGTAAGAAGAAATTGTGGTGAATTCTGTCATAATCATGTTGGGCCGTGACACTGGACTTACTTAAAAATATGTGTAAGAGCCAAAAAGGTGAAATTTAAGAAATCCTTAGGATTTTATAGGGTCTTTGTTTTATTTATTGGGTTTGTAGAAATTTAAGGCTAGCTGCCTTGCTTTTCCAGCCACAGACTATGGTAAAGGAAATGTAACAGGATGGGTTTCCCTGTTCACATGCAAATTACGTTTTGGCACAAGCAGTATCCCATGTATATCTTAAGTGCACGTCGGGCCCATTCTAAAATAGTATAAGTGGGTAAGGAAAATTAGAGAACAGGCAACTGAAGAATGGTTTGCAATAACATTTGGAAACTGCCTGGCTCTCTCAAGGCAAGCAAGGCCATGGCTGTAATGTGGGGTGAGAATGAATACCTGGAGGGGTTCACCCTAAAGCTGATTAGAATGATGTAAGAGTACAATGCTGAGGCTTTGTGGAAGTCTGGGAAGGGTGATATCTGATTGTTGTCTTGGTCCAGGTCGGGAATTCCTGGGATTCTTGCTGGGGAGCCCTCAGCCATCTGGGGCTTTTGTCTGAGGTTTCTCAATGTAGACTTAATTAATCACTATTTCCTGTGCAGTTCCTCAACCAAGTGAGAGCCTGAGAGCTCTCAGGTTCTCTCAAAGGTTGCTCTTCCCCAGATCATCTAGGTCTTCTGAACTGTGTTTCACATAACATAGCCACGCCCCCCCCCCAACTTTTAAACTTCCATTGTAAGTGGGCCACTCATTTCATGGATGTGCCAATTTGTGGGAAGGAGAATTGCCAGTCTTTTCATTCCTTTCTGCTGTAGGTTTCAGGGGAAATACTTTGTTCTGGTAGCAAGAAAAATCTGCAGGGGATGGGGGCTGGTAGTTCTTTGCCCTAGAGCTGTGCTGCCCCAGAACACCTTTCTTAATTTAGTTTCTCAATGTTTTACCTAGAAAGTGCAGGGAGAAGCATTTTATCAAGTGAGCTTATTTAGTAAACTTGCTTCACTTGGGGGAAATTCACTTGGGGAAAGATTGATCAGATCCATGAGATGTAACACATAAGAGTCTCCCAAGAATATCATCACCTGATTGGCAAAGAAGGCATTTTATTGAGTTACATCCAATTCACGATCACACTTAAATTGGAAGATGTTTTTCCAGCACCTACAACTCTGTACCAGGACCTGCATAGTTATTGTGCAGGGCTCTGAGATGGAATTGAGTGACCTCGACCAGAGCAAGGCAGGAGCAGGTCTCTCCGCCCCAGTCTCTGGACCCTGCATATGTTCTGGCTCCATGGAATAACTTTGCTCTTCTGCTGCAGGTAGAGCAAGTCAGCCAGTTGGCCGTGTTTGTCGAGGCTGCACTAGACTATCACAAACAGTCCACAGAGATCCTGCAGGATCTACAGGGCAAGCTGCAGATGCGGTAAGGGCCCTCCACTCCCTCCCAGTCCCCAGCTGCAGAGCTCAGAGCAATGGAGATACAGCCCCCCGCCCCCCGCCACTTGCCCTTTTCTCTGCCTCATTCTGTTTTTAGTTGGCTGTTGGATTGGGTGTAGGGTGAGACTAAACTGGGAAAGGGATCTCTGGCAGCTTTTCTCCTCTTTCTTTTCCTGAAAGCCCCTTTGCTGTGACCTGTATTTAGAGCAGCCAGACAGAGGGGCCACCCTCCTCAAAGGTCCCCTCCTGAGCCGTCCCAGCTTCGCTGCTGAGAGTTCCACTCCCTTTTCACAAGCCAGGGTGGCATCGGTGACATATAGCCCTTCCCCATCATCCAGGGGCACGGAGAAGACTGAGATGATATTCAGAAAATGTGTAAATATTTATAAAACAAGATGGATTTCCACTTCTTCAGTAAAAGCATCAGGTTGTGTTCATAAGATGGACACTAAGAGGTATTGAAAGAACCATCTATTCCTTCTAAACCATCAAAGAAATGTTGTTGTGCCCCATGGCTTTCATGATCAATATAGTCTATTTTTCACAAAATTAATAATTTTATAAATAGTATGCACAGCAACCCTATTAACCAAAACACTGAGTTTAAAAAACTACCCTGTGTTTTGAAACAGACTTGATAACAGAAAATTGTTTTATATACGGAATCATGGTAACGAATACATCTGGAGAGAGTTCACATAAGCGAATGCTGTAGTAATGGAGGAAGACAAAAATGTATGTCCATTTTCTGGAACATCTACTTCTGCAGGTAGACAGTCATCTGGCTCTTCTCAGAGGAGCTGTTTGCTTAACTCTGTCCAGCAGAGGAGAGAAGGAGATGGCTGCTGGCATTGCTGAGGGCCCTTGCTCCATGCCTCAGGGGTGTTATGAGGGCAAATACTGTAGTCTGCTTCAAGATGAATTTCACTGAAGTGCTCACCTAAGTACTCTGAAGACTGCATTTGAGATACTACATCTGTCACTTTGGGCTACTGAGGAATCTGTGTGTGAAGCTGTCACTTTGACCTAGGTTACCTCTGTGCTCGTGAGCGCAGAGTGAAGGTGTGCTGCAGGCTTTGCTATCTTTTTAGGTGTCTGACTCGACTTCCACTGTGTGTTACAGGATATCGACCGCATCCAGTGTCCCGCGGCGAGAATACAAGCCAAGGCCGGTAAAGAGGAGCTCTAGTGAGCTCAATGGAGTTTCCGCCACCCCCATGGCAAAGATGACAGGTGAGTAAACCATTCTGGGTGCATCAGGGGGCTCTGCTGGGAACCCACATTCACTGCTAGTTGCTCAGTCTTTCTGTGTGCATCCATGGAGACCCTAGATTGCTTTCTTGGTTTGTTCATTGAAATCCTACTTTTTCCTTCAGCAACACCCTTTTTTCCTGTTTCCTGGTTTCAGGCACATCAAATTTTGAAAACCAGAACCAGGAAGAATGCCATCACTTTACTAATGCCTTGTAATGTGTCAGCTAGATAGATACATTGTTCCTACATTATTATTTATTTTAAAATTGTTAATGCTTTCAAAATATTTTATTAAGAGCTTTAATATTCATTGACTGCTTGCTGTATGCTATCACCATTTTTAAGTGCTGCATCATTAATTTTTAATGACAAATGACATAGCCTTGAATCAAATAATCAAATTGAGAAAAACTTCAAGTGCTATAAATCCCCGCTCCAGTCTTCTCCCTAGAGGTATCCACTGCCCATCATTTTGCATAAATACTGTCGTGTGTATTTATGTGTGTGCATAAATGTGTGTCTCTGTGTGTGTATACCATATATAGAGTGCACAGTTTCAGATCATTTTTTGTTTTGCAAATGTAAGATCATCCTAGGAATATTGTTCTGAGTTTTGCTATTTAAAAGTACTATTTCTTGGTATCATGTCTGTGTCATGCATATCGATCCATCCCACCATTTTTATCAGCTTCATAGTTTTTCATTATAGATTCCATAACTCTATTCACTGATATTAAGGTTGCGTTCCAGCTTCTTGTTGCAATGAGTATATTTTTTCTGGTGGCAAGTCTTCCTAGGAAGGGAAATTGCTGTTAGAAAGCCTGCAAATTTTCAATGACGTAGTAGATGTTACCAACTACCATCCGAAATGGCTAACTGCTGTTAGTGTGTGATCAGCTTCTGCATGCCATGTCATTGGATTTCAGTGTTTGCCAAGGACTTACAGTGAAAAGTGGTACTCAATCTTAATTTAAGCACTTGCATAATTAGGAGTAGTATGAAACATTTTTATAGGTCTTAATTCGCCATTTTTATTTTCCTGTGTGTGAATTGTTCATGTCATTTATTCACTTTCTTTCAGCTACTGTAATTGGCTTGTCTGAGTGACTTATAGTCACTGAGTGAAACCATGATATAATAATTTTTCCACTTTGTCCCACTTAGCCTATGAAGCATTTTGCTTATTGCTTTTGTTACTGTTATTTTCTTTGTTTCATTTTATTTTGGGTATATACATGCTCTTATTTTGATGTAAGCAAATTTATCAACCTTTTTGCTTCTGACTTTGCATTTTATGCCTTGCTGAGAAAAGTCTTTCTGTCCCCAAAGTTATTCTGCTATAGTTCACTACTTTAAAATATTTCTTAATATGTAGTTCTTTTGATATGGAGTTTGCTTCTGTAAGTTAAAAGAAACTGGGGCTGGGGGTTTAGCTCAGTGGTACCTACACCTGCCTCGTGAGCTCAAGGTCCTGAGTTCTATTCCTGGTACCAAAAAAGAAAGGGGGGTTAAAAGAAACTGCTAAACTATGGGAGTGGGAGTGTCACACCCCCACCAGCCATGCCTCAGCAATTGTTTCTCTACAACCTTGCCGGCATCTCACAGTGTCCTTCTGCTGGCCATCTCGAACATCTCTTCATGTGCTTGTTTGCCATCTGGTATCCTCTTTGGTAAAATATATCTTTGCCCATTTTCTACTGGGATCATTTATATTTTTTACTGTTGTGTTTTGAGAATTCTTTACACATTCTGAATGTGAGTCCTTCAACTAATATGTGCTTTGAAAATATATCTCTCTCTAGTTTATCATTTTGTTCTCCTAAATGATCTCAAAAGTTTTTAATTTGGATGAGGTTCAACTTATCACTTTTTTCCTCTTACATGCATTTATTGTGAATCTAAGAATTCACTGTCATGTTAGGATAAGATTTTCTCCGTAGCTCTTCTTAAGTCCATCATCCACTTTGAGTTACTTTTTGTACAGCGTGAGGCTAAATTTGAGGTTCATTTATTTGCTGTCAGATGCCTGGTGGGTCCTCTACAGCACAGCTCTCCAGTTGGAATTTTCTTCCAACATCATCGCTGTGCACTGAGGGGTTTTCAATGAAAAATGGGAAATTATCAGTGATATGGGCAAAGATGTAAAAAGAAAATGTTACTACAAAGGTTTTTATTTATGAAAAGCAGTTGTCTCCTTCTCTGCCCCTATCTAAGGCTGACTGTGCTGTCAGAGGAAGCCAGTTTCAACTCTTTTTTGCTATTAATTTGGTATTTAACTTCATTGTTCTAAATATAGTACATATATTACTTTTTCTTGAGTTTTGGTTTGGGATCACGTATAATGATTTCCTGATGTGGAAGAGGAAGCCTTCCTTCTCTATTTTTCAGTCTCCCATATATTCCTCCCCCTTCCAATGTACTTGTAATCACCAGTTTTTAAAGATGGATATTTGTTGCATAATCATCACTTCTGTCATGCAGGATTCTTCAAATGCCCCCGACCCTGTTTTCCTCTGCTGCTGTTTACACACAGTTGCCTCTTCCAGTGAAGAAAACTTGGGTGGACCCTGTGACTTTTCTACTACTCTTGGGTTGTATAAGTTCTGCAGTCACTTGACCATGTAAATGCAGGTGTGTGCAGTAGCCAGAATGCCAAGACCCAAGGAATAGTCACCATCACCATTTAATTGTTGCAGTAGTGAACTTGACCCCCCCCATAAAATAGGAAGAATGTAACCCAGTCTACCTCCTTCCCACTCTTGCCAAAGATTTCTCTAAGACTCCTTTCTAATCTCCATTTCCTGACTTGGTTGTCCCTTGGATGTAGGTTGAAGTCAGGTGGTGTTAGTCCTCTAACTCTGGCCTTCTTTTTCTAAGTTGTTTTGGTAATTCCAGTTCTTTTGTATTTATACATGAATTTTACAATCATCTCTTCAGTTTCTACAAAAAGAAAGAAAAACCACATTCACATTCTTACTTGGATTGGGTTGAATGTATAGATTATTATAGGGAAATCAATAGCTGAATGATGCTGAATGTTCCAATTTTGAACACAGTCTACTTTGTTTTCCTTTTATTTAGGTCTTTCATTTCTCTCAGAATTGTTTTGCTGCATTCAGTATTTGGCCTTATACAATTTTCCTCAGTTTCCAAGCATTTCATAATTTTTAAGGAATTATAAATAGCATTTTTATAAAATTCTCATTTCCCATGTTTTCATTTTTTCATTGTTAGAAACAGACTTGAGTTTCATATGTTGAACTTACTTATATCGTATTATGTAGTTAAATTTGCCTATACTGTAGGTCTGAGTACCTTCTCTTTATTTCTTTTCACTTTTTGCACATGCCAGAACCTCCAGGATAACACCGGAGAAACGGTTCGAAGCAGTGGACTTGGCCTGTCCCTGATCTTAGGAGTGAAGCACGCTGTTTCATAGTTAAATATGATGTTAATGCTATTTTTTTCATAGATTGATAAGATTGAGGGAGAGTCCTTCTAGTCACATTGTGCTGAAACTTTTTAATCAGGAGCATTTAAAAAATTTGGCCATATGCTTTTTTTGGACAGCTATTGAAATGACTACTTAAAAATTATTAGTTAATATGAATTACATTAAATTAATTAAATCAACCTTGCATTCCTGGGATAAGCCTTCTATGGGAAAGTTATGTGTAAAAATATACTTTTTTAAAAAATATACTTTTAATTTTAGAATATTATTAGATTTCCAGGAAAGTTGTGAAGATAGTACAAAGTATTCTTACATACCCTATTAATTTTCCCCACTATTATTAACCTTTTATTCATATGGTATGGTATGTTACAATTAATGAACTTATATTCATTTATTATTATTATTATTATTATTATTATTATTAATTATTGTTATTATTTGTGGTTCTGGGGATGGAAACCAGGGCTGTGTGTGTGTGTGCATGTGTGTTTACCGTGGTTATCTGTTTCTTCTTGAGTGAACTTTGGGAGTTTATGTCTGTCCCAGAATTTGCAGGAATTTGTCCATTTCATCTAGGTTGTCAAATTTATGGGCATAAAGTTATCACCCTTCTAAGGTCTATAGTTCTGCAGTGATGTCGCCTCTCATTTATTTCTGAAACTGATAATTGGTCATTTCTTATTTTCTCCAGCATTTTGTCTGTAAGTTTCTCAGTTTCGATGATCTCAAAGAATCAATTTTCTAGTTCATTGATTTTTCTCTCCTTTTCACTTTTTACTGATTCATTTTGATCTTTATTCTTTCATTTCTTCTCCTTGCTTTGGATTTCATTTGCTCATTTTCTAGTTTCTTGGGGCAGAATCTAAGGTCATTGAGTCTGGTCTTTTCTAGTGCATTCTATGTGGTCAGTGCTATCAGTCCCCACTTCAAGTATGACTTCTGCCACAGCTAAAGGATTTGAATATGTTGTGTTTATATTTTCATCCTCTTCCAACTGCTCTGAAATTCTACTGCTTATATTTTCATCAAACCATGGCTTCTTTTGAAGTGTGTAATTTCCTTTTTACATATGTGGGTATTTTCCAGATAACCAATTTTAGACTTCAGATTAATTCTATTTTTTAAAATAATATACTTTTAATGAATTTTATCCTTTTAAGTATTTGAGACTTGCTTTATAGGCCAGAATTTGATCCACTGTGATAGAAGGTCTGTGTGTACTTGAAGAGAATTTGTATTTTATTCTTGTTGGACGAGTGTTCTAGAAATGTTACTTTGGTCAAGTTTTTGTGGTGGTGTTTAATTCTTCTAAATCTTTATTGATTTGTCTACTTTTTTCCTGGTAATTTTTGGCTAAGGAGTATTGAAATCCCTAATGATAGTGGTAGATTTGTCTATTTTTCCTGCTAATTAAATCAGAAACATGGGAAGATGGGTTCCTTCATTCTCATTCACTCTTTTAATCCAATTACTTGTGTTATTTTTAAACATGGAACGATGTTTGACTGTATTAAATATTTTT